TAATTAAATGACGAGATTTTAAATAAAGCGGCTGTGAATCAATTTCACAGCCAAATTATCCCAAGTCGGGGTTTTGTTTTGCCAGTAAACTGAGCTCGTTAAACGCAATACCTCGTGAAAAGCAGGAAGGCAAAGACATAAAAACATTCGGCGTGTTGAGTGAATGACGTCACATCCTCTTCAAAACGCCTTCTCGCTTAATTGGCTGCGTTTAATGGCGGCCGTGAATTTGGCAAATAAGAATCGTAAAAAAAAGTCAGGAAAATGAACAAATTTTGCCTTGAAATTTGGTAAGAATATCAAGCATACGTTATATTTCTGGATTAAGAAAAAAAATTTAATGATAGTGCCACTAATCAGCGGGTGAAATTTGATGTTTAGTGGTATGGATATGAGCGAGTATGCCTGGCTAGGAGACGAGAACAAAACAAGTTACACTGTAAATCTCGCGGTGTTGCGGGAACACCAAAAAGGTGTTACATCACACTGATTAGGTGTAACGCGGAATTAAACACTGTTTGAGTGTAACATTACACTTCCACATGTAGCTTTACACTATTTTAGTGTTTTGGTAACACTTACTAGGCGTAAAGTAGAAAATATCCTATTTACACCTAATTCGGTGTAGATTTACATTATAACGGTGTAACCTTACCTCTTCTCCCTGTTGATTTACACTTTGCGATGGTGTATATATACACTTATTTGGTGTAAAATATGCCAACACTTGCGAAGTGTAAATTTACACTTTTCCTGCCGTATTATTACACCTAGAATGTGTTAAAATACACTGAGCTGCGGTGAAGTAGAAACTGTAATGTATTAATTATTATTGCGGTGTAAATTTACCCTTAACTAGTGTAAATTTACCCAATGATTGTGTATGAGATAACACCATAATCATGTAAATATACACTGGCATGGTGTAAAAAATATGAATGCTTACTTAGTGTAAATCCACACTGAACCTGGTGTATAATTACACTAAGATCATGTTAAGATACACTGATGTAGTGTAAAGTAGAAACCGAAGTATTGACACCTTTTATGCTGTAAATGTACCCTCAAACGGTGTAAATTTACCCAATTCTTGTGTATGAAATAACACCTTGATTGTGTAAATATACACCAATATGGTGTGAAAAATATGAATGCTTACTTACAGTAAATCTACACTGGACCTGGTGTCTAATAACACTAAGACCATGTTAAGATACACTGATGTGGTGTGAAGTAGAAACCGAAGTATTGACACCTTTTATGCTGTAAATGTACCCTCAAAAGGTGTAAATTTACCCAAATCTCGTGTATGAAATAACACCTTGATTGTGTAAATATACACCAGTATGGTGTAAAAGATATGAATGCTTACTTTGGGTAAATCTACACTGAATCTGGTGTATAATTACACTAAGACCATTTTAAGATACACTGATCTAGTATAAAGTAGAAACTGAAATATTAACGCACACCTATACTATGATGTAAACTTACTCAAACTGTGTAAATTTAGCGATCTAATTCTCGTATATGAGACAGTGCCGTAGCCAGAAGATAATTGGGGGGGGGGGGG